GATATATATTTCTTGTTCTCTACGGTTGCTCTGTTTATTATCGTCGTTTTGTTAAGAATAAAAATTAAAATAGAAAACTTAAATTTGTCGTAAAGCTCCCTTATGCCGAATATTCTCTCGTATGACATTATTAACAACACTCTATACTTACATAGCATTTATAAACAGTGCCAGATGTGTCGTTATAAACTAAATAGCGGTTATAAAGCAGAAATATGGAGATCTTGTCAATTATTTTTCATTGAAAATATCAAAAGCGACTTTTTATTTAATTTCATTTATTTGCTTTCGTCATTACTGTCGGTAGTTCTTTTTATTTTTTTTTGAATTATGTAGCATGCCAAAACAATTAAATAACCTTGAACTAATGCTTATTTTAAAAATGAATATATATATTTCATGTTTTGTTTTACTTTTCTACATTTTTGCATTTTGTCATAGAGTTTGCAAACATTATAAACACTTTTCTGCACTCAAAAATAATAAATGTCACACAAATGTGAAAATGCAACGAATTTTCAAAGATAATTGACTTTTGTCGAACGAAGTGATCGATGTAAATAAGCAAAACAATAAAAATAGAACAGATCAGATCGAAATTGCATTGAAACTTTTCCTAGCTTTTGTTGTTTCTTTTTAATCATAAAGAGAAAGTAAATGCAAACAATAGACGACATGAGAAATGAATAAAATGTTTACATCCCTATAAATTAAAGTTTTCTTGAAAGCGTAACTCCAACTACATGACTTTAAAGTCCCGCGAAGCCGAAAGAAGGCTTCAAAAATCACTAAATTACGTTTTTTTGTCCAGAAGATTAAAAAATCCTGCAGTGACGACAAGATGGCTTCATCAGAGAAATGACAGAAGGTTATCGATCAAAATGGCAAATATTTGGTTATAAATTTCATTTAAAATATAAGCTTGAACGTTTGAATTTTATTGAAAAATATGGTCGAAACCCTTTCCGCAATCTATAATGTAAGGGACGCGGTTTTTCTCTATCTATCCCAATTCTGTCATATATTTTACAATCTCTTTTAAAAAGTAAACATCGAAGATATACTCTTAATCCGCTTAACACGCTAAGTACTTCAAACCATGCCACTCTCTAATCATCTCTGGGCGAAATTGCTCTCACATAAGAGCTAATACTTGGCATTTCGTATGTCGTCGAATCAATTGTGTTGAGCCAGCATGGAAGTAATCATCATGGGCATTACAGATAAAAAATTGATCGTCCTTCAGCATAATTTTTCTAAATGCGAAAGTTAATTTCAAATACCTTCGACTCTATGGGTCTAAAATGTTTTGAACGACTTGCGAAAGCTTTCAAAAATTCAAGTGATTGGTATTTATGCAAATGCAGTCATATCGAATTTAAGTTATTGTCAAAACTCTTCTTCTACATCTAAGTTTGAAGGAAATTTTAATGCCAATCATTTTAAATGGAAAAATAATAAATTTCAAAATAAAAAAAAAATTTAATTGAAACGATCCGATGATCAAACCAATATTGAAGTATGCGTCTGTTGTGTGGTCTTCTTAATATAGTTGTTATGTCAATTCAACATAGAATCCGTTCAAAAGTAATCCCTGCTCTTTGAGCTTAGGAATTTGAATTGAGACCCGCTAGTCTCTTTGCCTCCTTATAAAAATTTATTGATTCTGTTAGCCTTACCCTCACCTGAAATGCAGTTCTATTCTTTGTGTTTCCGTTCTAATTAAGTTAATAAATGGTACTGTCGGCATTATGTCGACATTACATTGTCATATGAACGTCAATGTCCCGAATCGTTTCTCTAGGATCTTTAACTTTATAAAGCTTAGTCAATGTAGATATAATTATGAGTTTTTCAATCCATTCCGAGTCCTTTGCAAAAATCTGTCTATCAAACCAAGTCTTCTTAATGCAAGTGATTTGCCTATGTCATATTTAAATCAACTTGTAATCTTAAACTCTTAGTATCGTTAAAAAATGAATTGAATTTGTTTACTATTACGGGTTGCCAAGATTTTTGCATGTTTGCTTGCAATGGCTTAAGGGTCCACTTCCAACTCGGATCTGTACCGGCTGTGAGTATGTCACTGTATTTGATTTGTTTTCTTTCTCTTATTTATTTATACATGAATTTTATTGTTTTTATATTTTCGTCATACTTTTCTTCCTGTACTTTTCTTTATAAAACTTGTGCTATTTTTTAATAATAATCGGCTATTAATTTATTTTAGCTGTTTTTGATGTGTAAATAAATAAAATGTATGAAATAAATAAAAAAATAAATATAAAAATAAATCCATTATCTTTAACCTAAGCTTTCATATAAATCTACTTTTTTTTATTTCTTACATCCATGATACACTGTGATTAGAAAGTAGTAAAGTTATGTTTTCTTCGCTTATCTTGGCAGATTTTATTATAAATTCCTTCCGGTGAATCAAGCTAGCAGCAAGAAAGATTAATTAGGCAAGGAATCACGTTGGGTGAAGCTATTGCTTGCGTGAAGCTATTCGCCAAAATAATGGCCACACAACTTTTGCATTATAAAGATACACGTTGTCAAACCGCAGTAGTTCGTGGAATCCGTTTTGCCAGAAATCCGACTCATATCATTTTATAATCGTTTTTTCCGTTCGTTTTAACTCCGTCTGAATTCCGATTATTCTCGCAATGCAAAACTTAATTCGTGAACATAATTTTAACTCGGCTGAACAGATGAAGTCGCTTCGGAAAATGTAAGTTTTTAAGATGGAAGTTCACAATTGCATTTCATTAACTATGGGAAATATTTGCATGCAATTTACAACATAAGTGTCAAAAGAAATAAAAAATTACATGTGCCTATAGCCAAGCGTTTTATGTCCATCTATTCCTTCTTAAAAGAAACATTAAAGAAGTACAAAAGCAAGTAAAAGAAAATCTTCACACGTTACTATAGTGAATGAGTTCGGCCGACTTTCCCCGTTTTTTTACAGCTATTGTAGAATAGGCGCAAAAATTCTTATCGCTGTATATCTGTCGTAGGTTGTGAGTAATGAACAATGAAGCCAATTTTTATTTGCTTTTGAAAATATAGACGTTCTATAGATGATATTGTACTATGGGCGTATTTCATGAACGATTTCGTCCATTTTCATTGCTAACATATTTACAAACACTTCCAATGTTTTTGCCAAATTTGAAACAGCGATATCTTAACTTTTGCCATCGGGAATACGTTTATCACATAGATCCATTTAGATGAATAGACAAGAGGACAGACGACGGTCAATAATATGGACACTTTATAGGATGCCTGTGCTGCGTGTTGCAAACCTTTTTGAAAAATGATTATAATCCGAACTTACGGAGGCGTCAAGTAAAAACATTGCTCGTTTAAACAATTTTGCGCAGTTGCAATGAAAAAACTCTTACTCATTTTTGATTACATTATTATGATGATTTTATTTAATTTTCCTGAAGCTCAGAAGGACCTTTTAATAATCAGTGATCCAAGTCACCGAGTTTTGCAAACTGCCAACGAACAAGTCAAAGCTTTCTCCATATATTTGAGTTCGCATTAAAACTCCTCTTTATAACATTTGCGAAGATAATTCGAAAAGTCAATTAAATTGGATCAGAGATTGGGAAAATTATAAATTTTTATTAAAAATTCAACTAACGCTGATGGGCACTAAGAAATTGGGTTTCATATGAAAACAATTACTGAATAGATAGGCGTATGTTCGTTTTATTAAAACGTTCTCAAGTATACACATTCTTGATCGATGTCTGTCCGTACCAAGGCGTGTGTGAACATTTGTGGTATATCCAATTCGCGGTCGCAAAAGTCAAGATATTGCGGCTTCACATTTGGCAAAAACATTGAAAGTTCTTGCGCAGTCGATATTTGCTCTATAACCGATCCAATAGCCACTACACAAAAATGGAAATAATTCAGTTCCACTCATTGAATGATAGCGAACGTCAAAACTTCAATTTTTTTTTTTTTCACAAACTTTTTCTAGGATAAAGATGATGGGTATAAAAGATTCGATCACACGCGAGAATAAGCTTTTCTTACAACAAGTAATAAATTAGTCTTTTAAGATCTAATTAGCGCTATAAACCTAAACAGAAACTAATTCTTTCTTTCAAATTGACCTTTTCAAGGCAATTGAGAATGATTGAATACAAAATTGATCCGCATACCGGCTTAATACGAAGTCTTTCCCTAAATTGTGTAAATTAGATGGCTAACTAAGAACCTCCTACCTCGTGGTAGAGGTCATAAAATGAAAGCCGTTTAGAATTATCTCTTAAATGCGATGTAAAATATATTGTTTTTCCGGATTTATTCAGCCACCCTTTCACGACTCACTCGTATTGTTTTTCTGTAATTTAATTTCTTCTTCTTTTTTTTCTTTCGCGCAGCTTTTTTATATGCAATAATTTCGACTTTCACTTCCACTTTTCGTAATCAGCTGAACTTTCTAATGCTTACAAGTTCATCGCATTTGATCTTTCCATTTGTAAATTGGTTGATATTAACAGAAATAAATTAAAAATATCGATAAAGGGGAAATTATTTTTCGAAGAAGATTACTTACGACAGATAAGAAAAATAAATAAAAAATAGAAAAATTATTGCAATTTATCGAAATTGTTGCCGAAATGATGTGTTAGTGAACGGAAACTGAAATGAAAACATTATTATGGTTAAAATTTTGAGTAGAGACATAAGTCGGATACATATATAATTGTATGTATATATATACGATCACGTATCTATGTATACATGTACGGATGAGCATTATGTTATAATATGAACGCGATAACGTAATGTCGCTTGCGCTCGTCGAAGGAATCATAAGAATTAAAACAAACCAAAAGAATAAATATTGTATTGAATACAAAAGATAATCGTGATAAAGGAAAGGAATTAGCGAAAATAGAAGAGAGCAAATAATCGAACAAGGTTTTCTTTTTGATTTTCTAATTTTAAAATGTAAAGATAAGAATGGAATTTATCAAGAGAAGTAAAAAAAAATTAAAAAATATTGAAAGTTCTAAAATACTTAGATCGCTTTGCAGTTAAATGTCGCTTAGAATGCTCAAACAATGGCTTACAAATATTTTGTTGTTCGGCAATAAAAAAAAAAAAAAATTGCGTTTTGAATCGATTACAAAAATCTTCTAACTAATATTTATAAGTTATTAAGCTGCGATTGAAACACATACGCAAGCCGGCAGAGAGTGTGGACTTTCAGTTGGTTATCGAAAATGTGACGGGGATGAAAAAAAAAAAAAAATAGAAGGGAATATATTTCTGACAATTCGTGATGTGTGTTTAAAGTATTGCACGTCTTAGAAAATATTTGTGCATTTTTTGAAAAACGTAAAGCAAGGCCTGCTATTGCGTCTTTTGAGCGCCAAGTAAAGAGAAAAGAAATTTTTCACACAGGACTCAATTAAGTTTAATTAGCCATTTCTTAGCCTAATTTTAAATGAAAAGTGAGTTTAAAAGAAAGAATAGACCAATGTTGAAACAAGCACAAACTGAAGCAACTTGAATACGTGCCTAATAAAATTTTTGTAGAAAATTTATTAAAAAAAAAAGTTAAACAAAAACGATTAGAGTTAAATTTTAATATTCTGAAATTATTGTTGATCCAGCTTCAGTGTTTAAGCGTAGACTTTGCTTAATACTACAGTACCTGATCTCGGTTCTAGTTCTCGTTATATCTATCACATGCGCTTCCAATATACGCTTGATCATGTACACTTGATCATAGTATATAGCAAAGTCTATATGTGGTTTCTCTGCCTATCAAAAGATAAAAACATCTACTTGTTAAGATAATGATTGCGATTAAATTTGGAACGATTTCTTATCACTCTCATCAGATTGGTTTTGAAATTCGGCAAAATTTTTTCATAGGTCCAATAGTGATTGTCAAAGGCCTGATAAGTTTTCATTTTTAAATGAAATTTCAAAGTTATACAACTTTTAGTTTAGAGTATGACATTTTTTATAAGAAAAAAAAGTTAAATTACACGAAGTTTTGCTTTTGAGTTATCAAAGAAGCATAAATAGGTAATGTACATTTGCTAGCACTTTGTAAGTGCTAAAAAATTATACAAAAGTTAGATTTGACATGCATGCGATATATGATACTAATGATACGATATGAGTGAATTAAACTGTTCTCGATCTCGCAAACAAATATCGTACATGATTTTTACTCTAATACAATTTACTTTGCAGCTTTCGTGAACAATACTTTTTCTTAAAGATTTTCTTTGATTTTTTTGTTGCACTACTGTACAACGCACTGAATTCAATATGATTGTAGTTGAGCTTAAATTCTCACTATTAAATTGCATTATTTGTTCAGAATTATCAATTACAATCTTTTATATCCATCACCGTTATCTTAAAAAAAGACTAAAAAAATGGAAAAATCTAAATTTTCATGCTTTATGGTATTTTGGTTTGTGCAGTTGTGATTTGTTCCATTTTCAGAATAAAAGTGAAAATTCATTTGGTGTATGTATTGTACTTTGAATAACGACCGAGAAACGTGGAAAACAAACACTTGTTCTATGGGAGTTGGGAAGTTGTAGGCGCGTCCTTTGTCTGGACAGGCGAGCAGATCGATCGGTGCATGCATCATTAATATTTGAAACTGGCCAAGAGTTTATGTACTTTATGGAGTTTGCTGAACCTTGCTTCTGCGTATTTTAAACGTATCGAAAAAAAAAATCAAATTTTAATATACTGTAACGCGAATCGTCCTTTGTGATTTTGCATTTTTATTCAACTCCTTTTAAGACTAAATTCGTGCCACCGTATTGTGATTTTTAGGATAGTATAAATTTTATTTGTAATTCTTGGGATATCTATTTACAAGTTAATTAGGGGAACTTATATGTACAATGCTTTAATTTTCGCTCTGGTCTTGTTCGTTCGAATATTGCAATTCAATTCTCTCGACTCGATTCTTATTGTATTCTGCAAAAATTTTGCGTATAAGCAGGTCATCGTTACCTATATTCATCGCGCCATCTTTGCTTTAATCTCTTTTTGCCGCTAAACTTCTGTTAATTCTTGTCAATCTTTTCTAGAGTCGCCAGCTGCATGAACCAGGTAAAGTGTCCTGGATTTGTTTTTGTTTTTCCTTCCTTTGCAATGTGCTTTTTTACAAAATCCGCCGATGTTCATGAAAAATCAGATCATCAAATACGGCATTATAATAACAATGCGATAGTATTGGGTAGGCGTGATCAATTTTTTCCATTTTTGTACAGGTATTACAATATGGCTTATAGAATATACTTTCAAGTTTTTGTAGATTTATCTGCTGTAGCTTATGAGTAATGAGGAAAATACTAATATTTTGTAAGGGTGTGAAGATAAATTCGAATTTAACTAGTAAAGACACCTACCATTTCTGTTAACATACCTCTGTTAACGACTTAACAGAGCTCATGTTAAATAATTACAATTGAGATATAGTTGGTTTGAAAGCCTAATCCGTCCATAATAAAAAAAAGAAAATATTTTTGTGGGCATTTCATGAATCAATATAAAACTACCTTTCAAGCAAACTGAACAAATTCAAATTCTGCTTATGGAAACTATTTTTAACGGTATTTGAAATTTGGTATGTTAGCGAAAACTGCATATGAAAAAACACCCAAATTTGACACTCTGGTGCGGCCAAACTAGAAAATGTCGCCTATATTCACCTATATCATGTGAATCTATATGAAAGTACCTATTGCATGGGCAAAAAAAATTCACACTTTTCTTTCGGGAACTGTTTTGAACGATCTTTTGAAATTTGATATGTTAGCGATAAATGGTTGTGAGTATAGTATAGCATAATGCACTATATTCTAGGACAAAAAAAATATACTGTGGTACAATATATATTAGCAAGAAAAAAGCTATACTGTAGTACAAAAATTTTGTACTATAGTACAATGAATTTCAGTACAAAATACAATGTACTGTAATACGATGATTTTCAGTACGAAATACACTATACTGTAGTACAATGATTTTCAGTACAAAATACACTATACTGTAGTACAATGATTTTCTGTACAAAATACACTATACTGTAGTAAAATGATTTCTAGTACAAAGTACACTATACCGTAGTACAATGATTTTCAGTACAAAATACACTATACTGTAGTACAAAAATTTTGTGCTACAGTGCAATGATTTTCAGTACGAAATACAATGTACTGTAATACGATGATTTTCAGTACGAAATACACTATACTGTAGTACAATGATTTTCAGTACAAAATACACTATACTGTAGTAAAATGATTTCTAGTACAAAGTACACTATACCGTAGTACAATGATTTTCAGTACAAAATGTTCTATATTGTGGCACAAAAATTTTGTACTATAGTACAATTATTTTCAGTACAAAATACACTATACTGTAGTAAAATGATTTCCAGTACAAAATACACTATACTGTAGTACAATGATTTTCAGTACAAAATACTCTATATTGTAGCACAAAAATTTTGTGCTATAGTACAATGATTTTCAGTACAAAATACACTGTACTGTAGTACAATGATTTTCAATACAAAATACACTATACTGTAGTAAAGTAATTTCTAGTACAAAATACACAACACGGTAGTACAATGATTTTCAGTACAAAATACTCTATATTGTAGCACAATGATTTTGTACTGTAGTACAATGATTTCTAGCACATAATACACTATACGGTAGTACAATGATTTCTTGTACAAAATACGCTATACTGTAGTACTATGATTTCTAGTACAATATACACTACACGGTAGTACAATGATTTCTTGTACAAAATACGCTATACTGTAGTACTATGATTTCTAGTACAATATACACTACACGGTAGTACAATGATTTTCAGTACAAAATACTCTATGTAGTACAAAACTTTTGTACTGTAGTACAATGATTTTCAGTACAAAATACACTATACTGCAGTACAATTATTTTCGGTACAAAGTGCACTGTACTGTAGTACAATGATTTCCTGTACAAAATACACTGTACTGTAGTACAATGGTTTTCTGTACAAAATGCTCTATACTGTAGTACAAAACTTACGTACTGTAGTACAATGATTTCTAGTACAAAATACACTATACTGTAGTACAATGATTTCTAGTACAAAATGCACTATACTGTAGTACAATGATTTTCAGTACAAAATACACTATACTGTAGTACAAAAATTTTGTACTGTAGTACAATGATTTCTAGTACAAAATACATTATACTATACCACATTTTACCATTTTTCGCTAACATATCAAATTTCAAAAGATCGTTCAAAACAGTTCCCGAAAGAAAAGTTTGAATTTTTTTGCTCATTGGACAGGCGTGTTTTATATAGATTCACATGATATAGGTGAATATAGGCGACATTTTCTAGTTTGGCCGCACCAGAGTGTCAAATTTGGGTGTTCTCTCATAGCTATGTTATGGTAACATAGCAAATTTCAAGAAATCGGCAAAAATAGTTCCTGAAAGCAAAGGGTGAATTTTTTTTGCCTACTCGATAGGTATTTTCATAGAGATTCATGTGATATATGTGAATATAGGCGACATTTTCTAGGTTGGCCGCACCAGAGTGTCAAATTTGGGTGTTCTCTCATAGCTATGTTATGGTAACATATCAAATTTCAAAAAAATTGGCAAAAATAGTTCCTGAAAGCAAAGTGTGAATTTTTTTTGCTTAATCGATAGGTATTTTCATATAGATTTACGTGATATAGGTAAATATAGGCGACATTTTCTAGTTTGGCCGCATCAGAGTGTCAAATTTGGGTGTTCTCTCATAGCTATGTTATGGTAACATAGCAAATTTCAAAAAATTGGCAAAAATAGTTCCTGAAAGCAAAATGTGAATTTTTTTTGCTTAATTGATAGGTATTTTTATATAGATTCACGTGATATATGTGAATATAGGCGACATTTTCTAGTTTAGTCGCATCAGAGTGTCAAATTTGGGTGTTCTCCCATAGCTATGTTATGGTAACATAGCAAATTTCAAGAAATCGGCAAAAATAGTTCCTGAAAGCAAAGGGTGAATTTTTTTTGCCTACTCGATAGGTACTTTTATATAGATTCACGTGATATATGTGAATATAGGCGACATTTTCTAGTTTGGCCGCACCAGGGTGTCAAATTTGGGTGTTTTTTCATATGCAGTTTTCGCTAACATACCAAATTTCAAATACCGTTAAAAATAGTTTCCATAAGCAGAATTTGAATTTGTTTAGTTTGCTTGAAAGGTAGTTTTATATTGATTCA